CGCCTGGCCATTTTTTGGTTACAGCCATCATTGTTGTTTGGCGGGCCCAGGCTGGGGATTCGAACCCGCCACCTTAGATGTATGTGGCTGGCGCCTTAGCCGCTTGAGCCACAGGCGCCAAGCCCATTATTTACTTTCTTACAGCCTCTAGTTCTCATTCTTAAATTGGAAATTATACATATTTTACAAGCTTGAAGATTAAATAAACTCATATCTATAAAGTATACAATAAGTGCTCAACTAATGGTAGTAATTATTTTTAACTTATTTTATATGTCCCTTAATTTTATCTGAATTATACAATTTAATAAATGTATGTATACTCTTTGTAGTACATGTCTTTGATCATGTAATTATGTTATAAAAATGTACAGTTTATATCATAAACCAGTAAATTCATTTCATATTAATCTGCTGAACATTCTGTTAAGTATATGCAGAGATAATAAGGAAAGAAATACATACTTTTATTTTAAATTATACCTAAAATAGTATTTTCATTATTTGAAAACAAAACATTGTATGACATATGGTATACATATGTGTTTATAAATTACAAATTTAACAAATTACAAATTATGCTTGTCACCTAAAAATGTTCTTGTGGACAATTTTACTACTTTTATATGATATATATAACATATTTGCTCTTAATATATTGATTGCAAGTCATACCACTGATTTTATCATATAGTTGTATAATTAGATTATACAACTAAAAAAAGATTATAATTGTTCTAATTACTCTATTTTTAATCTAAGGAAGTTTTAAAAAGCATTAAAGCAAAGGACTAGTTTATTGGTTCTTTTCTGATTGAAGTGGCACAGTGGAAAGAACATTGTATTCTAGTACTCTAAAATCTTGCTTTTAAGAGTATTATCTGGAAAGGGACAGAACCATCAAGTGCAGTATGTGGACAATCCAATTATAAAATGATACTTTTGAGGCAGTTGGGAACATTTCAATACTGACTGGCTAGAAAATGGTATTAAATAATTACCTGTATTGTTAATTTATTAAGTGTGAGAATAGTATTACAGTTTTGTAGGAAAATGTCCCTATACTTTAGAGCAGGTGTCCTCAAACTATGGCCCCGGGCCACATGCAGCCCGCCTAGGACATTTATCCTGCTCACTGGGTGTTTTTGCCCCCGCCACTGCCTGTCCTGTTTAGCAGCTGACTGGTCCTGGGGCCACAAGTCCGGCCCTCCAACAGTCTGAGGGACAGTGAACTGGCCCCCTGTTTAAAAAGTTAGAGGACCCCTGCTTTAGAGGCTCATACAGAAGTGTTAAAGGGTAAATGATACATTGCCAGGGACTTAAGAGGGGAAAAAAGGGAAGGATTAGGAAAAAATATTACTAAGTTAGTGGTAGATTCTTTTGAAGTGGTTAGATGTCTGCTGATTAAAGTACTTTTGGTGTTAGGAGGTGGGTTTAGCTCAGTTATTTTATGTTCTGTGGTTATTGCTTAAAAGTGAACATTTTAGTTTCAGAGAGAGACAGAAGAGGGATAGCAGGACAGAAAGAAAAATATAAGTAAGAAATAGTGCTAAATAATAATAGCTCAGTCAGCAGACATCTAGAATATCTGGGGTCCCCTGAGATATTTCAAATGATTTATGAGTTAAGAACTCTCTTCATAACATTACTAAGGAGATGAAGCTGAGAAAAGCTAAGGAGTGTTCCAGGCAGAGGGAACAGCATGTGCAAATGCTTTGCAGAGCACTGTGTCTGGAGAGGTCTGACTCAAAAGTGGTTCTGTGTGTTATATTCATTTGAATGAGAACTGAGCAAATACATATGTATATTACTTTGGGATACTCTTAATAATTTTGACTTTATGGAATGGGTTATTATATATTTTTAAATTAGTACATTGTAATACTTAATAGTACATTTCAGTTTCATATAAGAAAGAACTTTAAGCCAAATATGACCGTTTCTTATTTAGGGCAAAGATTAGCTGTGTAATTGTCCAGGAATAGTTTATTGCAAGTCTCATGCTATAAAATATAATGCTGTATAAATCATAGAAACAGTGGATTTCAAGCCTTTTAGGTTGAGAATGCCCTCTTAGGCTCATTTTAATATTATCTAAAACAGACTTTTAAGATTTTATAACATACTATCTTTAATTTTTAGGCAAAAGAAAAACAGAATGCAAAGAAAGCTCAGGAAACTAAGTGAAGAGGATCTTTTGGGATGTATACACATTTCTGCTTCTGCACTTAATTTCATGGAAACCATTAAGTATAAAGAACTTTGAACAACATCCTAATTGGCTCAGTGCACGTTTGTCAGTAGTACTGGTCTGTCTTGTCTTAAATGCATGGATTCCTAAACTTTCTCCCTACCTGCGTCATGTGCATGTAGTGCATATTAAATAAAAATGATATTAAGAGTGCTTGCCCAAATTCCGTTATTTGACATTGGATCTAAGAACTGCTAGTTTTCTGGATTTATAGCTACCATGATGAACCTAGAAAATGCAGAAATGATATTCTCTACTGGCAATTGTTCTAATTAATGGTTTGATCTTTTAGCCCAGTTAAATGGAATTTATGTCAAATCTGATTAAACTGAATCTTCTATTTCCTCTCATCATTAATGGAAAATTATCAGTGTTTTAATCTTTGATATTTAAGTGTTTTTTGAGGATTGTAACAGTGAATTTTACACCAATAATTTGTGAAAGCATGATTTTAATGCAGATCCTTTGAAATGGACAAAAATAAAATTTCTAATGATTTTTACTGCTGTCGATAGAAAAGGTAATACACATCCTGATTTCATTTTGGCAAACTTTGTACATTTATTGTACTGTAGAATTATTTTAGGAAGGTCTGTGTATTATGTTTTAGAGCAGAATTTCAGGTGAAATTCTTAAATTGTGTTGGTGTTACTCTTCATTTGGCCATTTTTTTTTTTTTTTTTTTTTTTGGCTGGGACTGGGTTTGAACCCGCCACCTCTGGCATATGGGGCCAGTGCCCTACTCCTTTGAGCCACAGGCGCTGCCTCATTTGACCATGTTTTTTCAAACAAATTTTAACTTGTAAAAAATGAAGGTTTGATAGTTTAGACTATCTGCTTTAAATATAAAACACTGAGGCTGGGGTATCTTATGCTAATTTGAACAAAATTAGTACAACCAACTGTTTTTATGAGCCATGTATAATTTTCTCACCATGGATTTTTTAAAAAATTGCTTTTGGGAGTTGCTTTGATTGTTCTTTTATAAAATAATACTGTATTCTTGCTCTTAACCTTCTTTTCCAAGTTAAACTTTGAAGGAAATTTTATACAACTTCTTTTTATAAAGGAAATTTATCTACTTTTTTCTTTACCAAGCAATTTCTGAAGTTGACACATGATTTAAACATTTTTTTTTATTTATTGTAAAATAAATTTAACAGAATTTATTTTGGGGGGAAGTGTGTGCCCACCTTTCAGCTTCAATATATGAATTTTTAAAGTATTATCTTAAGCTTAGTAAATGTGGTATTATTAAATGCATAGAACTAATGGAATAAAACTTCATAAGAAATTATGTAGGAAAATCAATGAAATATTTCCCATACATAATTTCCTTTGGAAGTAATGAAGAAAAACATGTTTTTCAGTTACTTATGGGCAAACATATTTTGCTCATGATTCAGTAGTAATTATGTACTGTTTTCAAAGCCACAATAACAATTTTTAAGAATGGTTTCCTAAGGAAGGCTCATCTTGATTCCATTCATTTATTTCAGCTAAGCCTAACTCATTTATCCTGTTTTATTGAGGCTTAATTTTGTGAAACAATACAAGGATTATTGTAGTAAGTAGTATCTACTAGTGAATGAATTGTAATACTAGCATAAAGATCAACAAATAAATCAATGGAATAGAAGAGAAAGGCTAAAAACAGAGCCACGTTTATGCATACTCTCTCTTGGCTTCTGACAAAGGTGGCAAAGCAATCCAATAGACAAGGGAAGTCTATGCAGCAAGTGGAACCAGAACCGAATAGCTGAATGTCCATATGGGAAGAAATGAACAATGGCCCATGACCCCTTACTTCATAAAAATAAATTTGAGATGGATCATAGGTCTACATGTAAAAGCTAAAGTATAAAACTTTTTAGCAGAAAACAGGTGAGTATCTTTGTGACTTGAGGGGTTAGGCAAAGGTTTCTTAGGTCACAGAAAGCAATAAGCAGAAAAGATCCAAAATTAGAGCTCATTAAAATTAAAAACTTGTCACTGAGAGACATAAAAGTACCTAATATCAAATGACATTTTTAAAATACCTCCATAAAACAGCTATGTTAATAGATAGAGGACTTTTTTCTTATTAATCTAATTCTAATAAAATTCCTTGATAGGGATTTCCATAGCTCAAGAAGGGTTTATTTTATCTGCATCTTCTTTGGCAGTTGCAAATGTATTGTGATTCTTCATGATTACTTTGCCCTCGAATAAAAAAAAGTGTGATATGTGTTTGTCTGTGTCCTGTATATTGCTTAGTTTGAAACTGTCCTGAAGCTAGTGGGTAGGGAAAATAAAGGACTAAAGAGCAGCCCAGAAATAGATACATGTTCATTATGTGGAAAGTTTTTTTTTTCTTTAATAGCCTTCTATATCAATAGAATTGATATATAAGGAAATTTTTTTTTTTTAAAGAGTATTTTAAAGAAAGGCTCTAGCTCATTTCACATTTGCCCTTTCTTTTCTAAAATCTCATTTAGTGATTGGGTAGGTGAACGTACCTCCTGTCTATTTTATTCCTTTTAAAATGGTTAGCCAATTCTAAGGGATGTACTTTTATTATTGTAAACAAAGAAAGCTTGTGGACAGCTGTGGCACTGGCTGGTCTCACCTCATATGTTTAGTTCCCAAGATAGCTGCCTTTTTTCTAACAGAGCAGTCAGCTTGACTGTGCCACTAGAAAAAACAAATATTTGTTTTGGGATCATGACCATGGGAACTTACTCCCCTATTTAGGACTAAGATATATGCTTGTATAGGTTGTTATGCAGATTGATACCTTAGGTAATCCTCCCAGTTGCCTATAACATTTCAAGATAGATATATGTGTGTGTATATATATATTCTTTTAATTAAATCATAGCTGTGTACATTAATGCAATCATGAGGTACAATGTGCTGGGTTTTTTGTTTGTTTGTTTGTTTTGAGACAGGAGACTCAAGCTGTTCCCCTGGGTAGAGTACTGTGGCATCACAGCTCACAGCAACCTCCAACTCCTGGGCTCAGGCGAGTCTCCTGCCTCAGCCTCCCAAGTAGCTGGGACCACAGGCACCTGCCACAACGCCCGGCTATATTTTTTGGTTGCAGCCGTCATTGTTTGGCGGGCTGGGCTGGATTCGAACCCGCCACCTTGGGTGCGCGTGGCTGGTGCCTTAGCTGCCGAGCCAATGTGCTGGTTTTATATACAATTTGAAACGTTTTCATCAAACTGGTTAAAATAGCCTTCACGGCATTTTCTTAGGTATTGTGTTTTTCTTAGGCATTGTGTTTAGACATTTATATTCTACGCTTAGTAAATTTCCCATGTACCCTTATAAGATGCACCGTAGGTGTGGTCCCACCAATTACTCTCCCTCTACCCATCCTCCCATTTCCCCACCTCTCCCTCTCCCCTTTCCCCTTCTTCTCAAGATATATTTTTAAGTGTGTGTGTGTATTTTTTTTTCCCCTCTGTAAGTGGATGTTTCTTTTGTTTTGAAGAAAAAAATAATTTTAAAATATTTGTCTAACGATAGGTTCAGAGAAAGCAGATAAGCAATAATAAAATTTAAATTACCTGTAGTTCTACGGATGGATGACTACATTAACATTTCAATGTATTTAGCAATCCTTTTTTCCCTTGTGTACACGTTTTTATGTGTAAATCTTTCATGCCCTTCCTATACTCTGAAATAGCTTTATGTAGTTTGTTATTTTTAAACTTGATATGCAATTTTTCATTTTCTATCAGTGTTGATTTACTTTGTAACAAATTACTCTAGCTATTTGAAGAGGAATGGGGATTAATATTAGGAATTTTGAAACTACCTGGTCTCTTACAAAGTCATTAGAAAGTTTGGAGAACTGGGCTCAAGTGGGAGACTTCAGAAATGACTCCCAGCAAGCCACCCGTGGGGGCAGCCAGGAGAACTGCTACCTCTGCAACTAATGGAATCCACCAGGGAACTGTTGAGGTTAGAACAGCTGCAGAAGTCCTGTGTTCCAGGAGTGAGGAATCTGCAACTGTTGACACCCAGCGATTGTGATAGAGTAGGAGATTAGGAGACAGGGCTGAGACCAGATGCAAGGACTTGCAGAGTGGGTGCAAGTCTTCAAGTCTAATTAAGTGGGGTTGATAATCACAGACAATAACCTGCTTCAACTGGCTTGTCAGCTCTCTAGGTCACCTTATGTGAACTTTGGCTAATTACAATACTATCTGAATTATGGTTTAAAGATTTCTGTCACCTTAAAATGGCCATGACAGTTCTGAAATAACTAAATAAAGTATAAAAATGGGAGGGATCCCAATTCTAGTAATTACTATCAAAATTCTTAGTAAAACCCAACCTCTTAGCCTTGAATATTCATTCCTTTCAATTAGTGAGACCTCATAAAACCCCAAATCCCTTCCTTTTAGGGCAACTGCTCTTTGGGAGCCTGCCCTATCCCTCTCTCTTTTGAGACAATGTCCTTTCACTTTTGCTTTTTTTTTTTTTTTTTTAAGAGACAAAATCTTTGTTGCCCTCAGTAGAGTGCTGGGCTTCACACAGCTCACCGCAACCTCCAGCTCTTGGGCTTAGCCTATTCTCTTGCCTCAGCTTCCTGAGTAGCTGGGACTACAGGTGCCCACCGCAACACCCAGCTATTTTTTTAATTGCATTTTGGCTGGGGCTGGGTTCGAACCCGCCACCCTCAGTATATGGGGCTGGCACTCACTAACCCATAGGTGCCTCCCCTTTCATTTTTGCTTTACTTCCTCTGGTTTACATGCTGCATCCTGAAATTCCTTTCTCCAATGATCACTAAGAACCTGATAAATACCTCTGCTAGAAGACAATAATAGTTGTACACTGGAATGCAGAAAGATTTAACCTCTCATGTCTAAATGCCTAAAATGAGAAAACTGGATAGTTTGACTTTTACGGTAAGATTTCATTTTTTCCTGTAGTCTCAGCTAGGCAGGAGGCTGAGGCAAGAGGTCAGCTTGAGCCCAGGAGTTTGAAATTGCAGTAAGTTATGATGCCCTCACTTTAGATAAGGTAACAGAGCCAAACCCCATCTCAAAAAGAGAAAAAAAGTGGTGTGAATGATTATATCCATAAAACATGCATGTCATTCAATTTATTCTTTATAACACATTGTTTTCTGGCCTACGCCCAGTGACTGACATGGTAAAACAGTCACCACTTCTAGTATACTGTGTACTTTCTGTTTTTGACTTAATTATATTAACTTTGTGAAAACTATTCAATGATTTACTCAACCTGTATCCGAGTTGTTCTAGATGCCGGAGATATAGTATAACAAGATAAAGCCCCTTCCCCTTGAGACTAATAATAAACAAATGTATAATGTAGTTTTTCAAACGGTAGTAAGAATTATAAAAGATAAAGCAGGGCAAAAGGATGGGAGAGCTGAAGTTTGATAGGATGGTCAGAGAAGATCCCATTAAGAAGAAGATTTTTTTTTAAGCAGAGACTTAAATGAATTTTCTTTTCTATAGTATGAAATCAGCTCTATAAAAGGAGATTACATAAAGGAAG